CTCAGGATATGAGCGCTATATAAATAAAAGTTATTATTATTATTATTATAACTTGTTTCCTTCATAATTCTTCATATCAGGGCACAATAAGGAAAGCTGTCTCTCCCTTTAGATCAGGTAAGTCTAGCTCGTAATTTTAAGCTGTTATGTTGCTAAGTAACAATTATACACATGTATGCACAAGGCGATGAACACCTATGATGCAGCGTCTTTTAATTTTGACTGCTCTCTCTTGCCTGTAATGGTGTAAATAAAGTTTTCCATCGTATGTTATAGTAGCGGCAAGTCCCTTGATGTTTTTTTCCCCTTCATATTTCTTGTAGCTGGTGGACCAGAAAATGGCGAGGAGGATACCAAAAAAGCCACTGAGGAAGAACTGTCGTTTATAAAGAGTTCTATATGTGAACAGTGGAAGAAACTTGTGGTAAATATTCGATGACACCGCGGCTAGTGGTATTGGAAATCCTCTGCTAGCTTGCAATCTTTTGTTTGAATTAAACGAAAAAAAAAAATAACTGAACTATCTTAATTCATCAGGGCATGGATCAAGAACAAGCTCAGAAACAGTACATGGAAATATTAAGAAGCTGGCCGGGGTATGGTTCCACTCTGTTTGACGTTGAGGTAAGCAACAAAAAAGTTCACTTTGCTTGAAGCCAATGACTACATGGGTGTTTTTGATTGAGCAGAAAGTCACAAAATTTGTGGACATCTTCGATTTTACTTTAGTCAAGACGTATGGTTGTGACTCAATCGCTGTAAAAATAAAGCGGCTGGAGAAATGCCTTTTCTTTGGAAACAAAGCAAAATCGTTGCCTAAAAGTTGGAGAGTGTCGAGCCGGATATAAGCAATTGCTGCTTTGTTTGTTTGCGTCTTTGTTTGCGTCTTTGTTTGCCTTTTGCGGAAACAAAGTGGGAAATCTTGAGCGGACATCTTGTTACTGTGTGTTTTTCCAGTCATTGAAATCATTTCATCATAGGCCAACTAAACAGTAATATAATTGACGTTCATTTCTTGTATTGCAGACAAAAGACCCAGGCTTTCCTCCCGAACTCTGGTTGGGTGTGAGTTTCAAGGGCGTGGGTTTCTACAAGCGAGGAGATGTCAGACCACAGTGCCAATTCAGTTATGAAAAGTAAGTTTTATGTAGCACTCACGACAAAACTCAAGGCATTTCCCCCGCATTTTCAGACAAGTTCAAACGTTAATAGTTTTGGAAAGAATCAGAAAGAAATCACTGGACTTCGTTTCGTGCTTGTGATGAAGCTGTGATGGACAAGTGATAATGTGGTAAATGTTGCGTTAGATCCATTTAATGTGCACTGAGTCGACAACGATCGTGAACGGAATTAAAAAAAAGTACGATGAGTTAGCGGCCATGAACAGCTGTCCCACCCTTATGAAGCAGCATCAGCACTTGTGGACTGTCGCTGTTTTGGCGACATATGGATATCTTAATTTTCATTTAAAAGCCATAGAGTGGACATCTACATAAACCGTTTGACAAACCTTTCACCATATCATTATTTCATCAATTTTTCCCCTAATCTCCTATCGTATTGCAAGCGACTCTTGCGTGCTTTGAAGCAAGAAATAACGTAGTCAAGGCGCTCTCAATTGTTAACTGTGTGATGATCGTAATGTCTACGATTATAATTAATAATGCAAAACGTTTGACTTATTGATCCCCTTTTTGTTTACAGTATTTTATCATTTGGAGCTCCTGCTGCCAACAAGTACAAGATCATCGTGGACGGCAGAGATCCGATGTTGTTTGAAACATCCCAGGTATTACGCCTTGTATCTACTTTATACTCATAAAGAGGAATGATGTCACTATATTTTCATTAATATTTTTCCACTATGGCCACCCTGGGAAGAGAGGAAAGCTGTACGGAGTTGGCCGCCATGAGTAGGCAGAGGTGTAATACGACCCATTTTAGAACAAAAA